AGAGAGTCCCAAGCAGACTCCATGCTGGGCACGGAGTGCAACACGAGGCTCAGTCTTACGACCCCAAGATCATGACCTGAGCCAAAACCAAAAGTTGGATGCTCAACTGACTGCGCCACCCAGGCACCTCTGGGGCTTGTCATTTATATCCAGCAGTTCAAAGAGGGCCTTTCTGCAGTTGTCATGTCTTTCCCATTAATCTCACGGGCCAACATAGGTCATTGTCCAAACCTGAGCCATTGACCAGGAGAATGACGTGCATTGATTGGCTTAGGCTGTGTTCTTAATTCCTGGCAAGAGTGGGTAGAATTACCATGTTTGGCTTCATCTAGTCAGAGGTTATCCCTGGAGCCACCTACCTGTTCCTGACTCTGGGAAATCTGCGGTATAAATCAGATTCATTCTGTCTTTCCTTTTTTCTTTCGTTTATTTTTAAGTAGGCTCCATGCCCAACATGGGTCTCGAACTCACAAACCTAAGATTCAGTTGCACGCTAAGTATTTGTTTTATGTATTAGTAATACTGCAAGGGAACAGCTGATAAGTATAGGTAGCAATAACCTGCAATATCACTTTTCTATTTTTTGTGGTTTCCAGATGAGTATTTTTTAAAACTTAAAAGCAATATATGCTCATTCTAAGAACAAACAAAACTTCTGTCATTATACAATGGCAATAAAGCACGGAAAATTCCCTACCCGAAATTCATACTCCCAGAGATAATTACAATATAACTTTTTTGTATATAGAAACATACATTATTATACATATATTTACATGCTCAGTCAATAAAAGTTTTTACAAAATTGGTATGAACAATGTCTTCAGGATAATTTGTTTTAATCTTCTACTTTAGACTGTATTGTGCAGACATTTCTCCAAATTATTAAATATGGATGTACTTTTTAACCCATAGCTATAGCTTTTTTTTTTTTTTTAAGATTTTTTATTTATTTATTTGTCGGGCAGGGAGGAGAGAGGGAGAGTGCACGCACAAGCAGGGGGAGCGGTAGGCAGAGGGAGAAGCAGGCCCCCCAGCTGAGCCAGGAGCCTGATGCGGGACTCAGTCCCAGGACCCTGGGATCATGACCTGAGCCAAAGGCAGATGCTTAACCGACTGAGCCACCCAGGTGTCCCCATAGCTATAGCTGCTTATAGTGTGGGCATACTGTAATTTATTTAATCATTCTCTTACTGATAGACACTTAAGTTAATTATTTTAAAGAAAACCATAGAGAATATCCTTTTTTTTTTTTAAAGATTTATTTACTTATTTTAGAGAACGAGTGCAAGCGGGGGTGGGGGATAGAGAGAAAAGGAGACTTCCCACTCTACATGTAGCCCAGTGTGGGGTTCAATCCCATGATCCTGAGATCATGACCTGAGCTGACATCAAGAATCAGATGCTCAACTGATTGAGCCACCCAGGCACCCCATGTTCTTATATATAACTTTGTGTCTTAGGGGTATCTGCAGGATAAATTTCTAGAAGTATTAATTTTGACTAGTACTGCCAAATTAAATTACTCTCTACAAAGGCTATACCATTGTACACTTCTGCCATAGTGTTTGATTGTTTCTCACTATCTCATCAACACTGGGTATTGTTACTGCTTTTAATATTTGTTAGTTTGATAGAATTTTGCTACCTTTTTCATTTATAATTAGTGAGGTGGAACATTTTTTCACATGATTAAGGACTTCTGTTTCTCCTGGCTTACCCTAATTACAGCAGTGCCCATTTTTCTTTGCATGATTTATCTATTGATTATTAAGACCTTTTTCTATATTAAGAATATCAGTCCACTCTGTTATATAGTATGCAAATATTTTTTTGTTATTTCTCTTAAAAATGTATCTCTTACCAAATGAAATTAAACATTTTTTATATAGGGGCACCTGGCTGGCTCAGTCAGAACTCCTGATCTTAGGGTTGTGAGTTTGGCCCTCATGTTAGGTACAGAGATTACTTAAAAATAAATAAAACTTAAAAAAAAAATTTTTTTTAATAGATACATATGTGAAGTCTTTTCCTTTATGGCTTCTGAATTTTGTATCATGCTTAATAAGGTCTTTTCCCTGGCTAGATTATACAAATAAAACTTTCTCAGATGACCTTGTTTCAGTTTTAATGTTATTTATTTCCAGGCCTTGGACACATTCTTTAAGCAAACTATCTTTTTTTTTTTTTTTAAGATTTTATTTATTTATTTGAGAGAGAATGAGAGAGAGCACATGAGAGGCAGGAGGATCAGAGGAGAAGCAGACTCCCTGCTGAGCAGGGAGCCCGATGCGGGACTCGATCCTGGGACTCCAGGATCATGACCTGAGCCGAAGGCAGTCGCTTAACCAACTGAGCCACCCAGGCACCCTTAAGCAAACGATCTTGAAACCATTATAGACATATCTCATTTCTTTAACGCTTATTACACAGGAAAACTGCCTAAGAATTACGACCCAAAGGTGACCCCAGATCCAGAAAGATGGCTACCAATGCGAGAACGTTCTTACTACCGGGGGAGAAAGAAGGGTAAAAAGAAGGATCAGATTGGAAAAGGGACCCAGGGAGCAACTGCAGGAGCTTCATCTGAACTGTAAGTCATTGTTCCTCAGTTGAAGTCACTCAAAGCATAGGTTGATTCTTTCTCAGATGGACTCAGGATCATTAGTAAGAATTTTTAAAATATATTTCAAGTATAAGGAATACAGTCAGATATCTTTAATAAGTGTTTTTTGCCAATAAGCTTATGTAAAGGAAAGAAAATGTGTTTTGGTTTGATTATATTATAAATATTAGGATTATAGAATTGTATCGTAAATATTAGGATTCCAGTATCTTCAAAAGGAAGCTAAATACACTGAGTCATTCAACTAATTGAGTATAAAGAACAACAGATACTATAAATAAAATGATTAGGAAGAAGTATTAAAAATGTTACTAACGTTTTTTTTTTTTTTTTTTTTTTTTAAAGATTTTATTTACTTATTTGAGAGAGCGAGAATGGGAGACAGAGAGCATGAGAGGGAGGAGGGTCAGAGGGAGAAGCAGACTCCCCGCCGAGCAGGGAGCCCGATGCGGGACTCGATCCTGGGACTCCAGGATCATGACCTGAGCCGAAGGCAGTCGCTTAACCAACTGAGCCACCCAGGCGCCCCTAAAGTTATTCTTATATTGTAGGATTATGAGTCATTTAAATTTTTTTTCTCTTTTTCCTATGCTTTCTAAAAATTGGCATGAACCATATATTACTTTTTCTTTATAAAGCAGTAAATGTATTCAAAAGAAAAATGGATAGGAAGTCGGGGAGCCCACTTTAAAAGAAACAGAATATGTATGGGAGATTGTTAGGAGTAGAAAGTGAAATCCACGTACATATGTTTCTATAGTCTTTTCCTTTGTTGAATGTATGAATGACCAGCACTCTCCTGATCTGATTTCAGGGATGCCAGTAAAACTGTGAGCAGCCCACCAACCTCCCCAAGACCTGGCAGCGCAGCAACAGCATCTGCATCTACAAGTAATATCATACCCCCAAGACACCAGAAACCTGCAGGGGCTCCAGCAACAAAAAAGAAACAGCAACAGAAAAAGAAGAAAGGTGGAAAAGGTGGCTGGTGATTAGAACATTCTTGTTTGCAGGCTATTTTTAGTCGTACTGACACTAAGAACATAATAAAGGTAACACAGCAAGAAGCACAGAGCTACTCCCTCTCCCATCCCCACATTTCATGAAATGATTTTCTTGTGCATCGTCACACAGGAAAACATCTTCCTCAACCTCTGCCTAGTCAAACTTGGCCTGCTTGTACCACCTAGCTTTGCACAGATGATAAGGACTCAAAATAATGGGGCATTTTCCCACCTTGATCTTTGTTGCATTCTTTCTCTTTGTGTGCTGTGATCTGGTGTTTCTTCAGTTTCACAAACAAGGCATGTTATCCAAAGTTTCCTAGGATTTAAACAGAACCTACTTCTGTTTCAACTAGAGTCCGAAGATCCTTGTTCCTAGCAAATCCCACTTTAAATTATGTCTTAGGAGGCCTTAGGAGACTGAAAGTGGAATCTTCTGAGCATTCCAAATATCTGCTAAGAAATATCATGTGATAAAGGGGACCTTATTAATACACTTGTGTTCTTTTTCACTTCATTACATGAATGACCACAGGAAAACTAAAGTAAATGTCAATTTTAACCATAAAATCTCTGTCATGTGATCCTGGAGTATGGGATACTATATATATGTAGTAATGAAATGTGTGTGTATGTACATATATACACACATATATATGTAAATTAGGACTCCTTTGCACCCCGTATTGTTTTCAGATTATGATGACATTATGCTGATTTAGCACCATTAACTCAAGGAAAATGTATCAATGTTGTAAGAAGTTGACTCTTAGACCCAGTGTTCTGAGATCAGATGGGTTTGGAGTGTCTCAATCAGAAAGATTTAATGGCCCTGTCAAGAGCATGAACATTGACTTCTGAGGTAGAGAGGAAATCCTTCAGAGTTCAGTAGTGGGCAGTATTAGAACTTAACAGAACTGTTTGGCCCAATTAATAGATACTAAAATGACTCACCTTTGTCATTTGGGGTAGAACTATTCATTACCCTTCTCAAAGTAATGAAGTATTGTACAGTCTGGTATCAGTGTTGCTCTGGTCTTCCTTGCTTACAAGCCACTTTCCCATTGAACAGCTGTGAGACAGGCACACTGGGATGCCACCTTTGTTAGTATTCATTTTGTGCTGCCCAAGATAGCATTGAATTTAGACTTTGAGTATTTCCTTGTGATCATATTACTTCATCCTTGTTAATAAAGTGCTACTGTGTTTGACTCTGAACATATCTATTGAAACTTCTTCAAAGATATTTTTTAAAAGGCTTTCCTCCTTTACAAGAGTAAGAAATGTGGTGCTGCCTAATCAGAATCTGCAGTAACACCTAAACAAGAGACGACCCTCTTATATATGAATGACTTATTATGACGTAATACTTTTTGAGCTTAGAGAATAATCTTTTGGTAAGAGTGTTGTACTTATTCCTTCTGAATATATACCCCATTACAGGAATAATTGTTCATAAATTTGTTATTTAGGATTCCATTAAATTTCTGTGGTGAAGGATAATCATTTTTAGGTTAACTGAGCTACAGAATTTTGGTGAAAGTTATCCATCGTTGAAAATTTTGACCCAAGGCACCAAGAGTGAAAGTTAATTTCTCTATTTAGTCATTGTAATTACTAGCCATTGTTATTACCAGTCATTACTAAGCAACTGAAACCTCAATTGAAATAAGTTATAATTGTCGAAGTATAAGCATCTACATTAATTTTCTAGTAATTATTTCTTCTTTTGGACAGGTCTTTAATCAAGGACATATACTTTGTATGTGTGTGTGTACATTTATAAAAGCCAATATGGATACATCCATTCACTGCGGTACATTTTAAAATAAAATATTCTAGCAGTGAGTATGGATTAAGGTGTTTTGGGTTTTGGCATTTTATTGAGGACTTCCTGGTTGGTATACCTAAGAATTTTTTAGGCTAAATATCTAAAATTGTTTCTTGCCCCTCCCACAAAGCTTCAAACCTAATCTGATGGAACCAAGAGAACCCAGTTGTAACTTCACTGACAATTCATCATGTTCATATGTGTTTATAAACAAATTGAGGAGTAAACATTTTTTAAGTTACTAACCACAGCATTTTCAAGGCTGCTTGTAAACTGCTAACCTTAAACATTTACATCACTCCAACCTGGAACCAGCCTGTCATTCACTGTTCCTTACAAGCCTATCTGAACAGTAGATCTGATGAAAGAGAGTCAGTTTATTGCATTAAGATAATTTCATTAGATTGTGAAATATATTCTTGAGAGCAGTTTATAACAAAATAATAAAAAGAACCATCCCTATACTTTTCAGCCAGTTTAAGAAATGTTACCACCACCTTTGAAAAGCCCCATGGGTTACCTAATTTGCTACATACGGGATCATTGTTCGTGACTATTTTAATTGTTTAATACCCATCATTACTAGTATCTATGTTCCTGGCGGACTACTAATTTAATCTCCAGGTAATTTTGTTTAAACGATATGTAGCGGGAATTTAAAATAAGCGAGCTGTTCATGTTTCTCTTAAGCGTCCTGGATAGCGGCCTCTAGACACTCCTAGTGGAGTTAACGGGACGGAGGGCGGCAAGATACCCGACTTCACTTTTCAGGCTTGTGATGACTGGCTGGGAGAGGCGGGGAAACCTCTGGAACGCTCTGGACGCTGGCTTCCGAAGTGTTCTTCCGATGGGAGACTCGAGGGTCGGGCGGCTCTAGGATGATGTGGGAGTGGTGACACGCTAGGAACTGGGCTGGCTTGGAAGGCCTTTCGGAGACACTGCGCCCAGCACAAGGGAATCGGGGCCATGGTGCGACCTCCGGAGGAGGTGTCGCCTGGGGTGTTTTTCCTACTCGGAAGAGCAGTCCCGCGGGTCTCTCCCAACTCCCGCGGCTGGGCCTCTCCACCTCCCTGGGTCAACGCTTCCCCTAGCTCCCTCCGCTATCTCCCCTTCCCCGCCCCGGGATCGGCGAGTCCGCTGCGCCGCAGACCCCCCTAGCGGGGGTCAGATGCCCCGCGGCACCCCGCGCGCCGGGGGACTGGCCTCGGCCGCGCAGTGACCGCGGGTGTTGTCTACGCCGCGTGGACCTACGTCTCCACCCTGCGTCCGTCACGGGGGCCACACCTGCCGGGACCCAAGACCCAGGCTCCAGCGCGCGGGCGCGCGGAAGGAGGGAAGGAAATTAGGGCGGTGGGGATGGAGAAGGGAAGGGTGATGGAGAAGGGGAAGGTGAAGAAGGGCAAGGAGCCAGAGAAAGAGAAAATTCGGGAAAAAGGAAAGGAGGAGAAAGAGAAAAAGAAGGAGGTGGAGAAGGAGAAAATTAAGGGAAAAGAAAAGGGAAAGGAGGAGAAAAGTAACTGTAAAGAGGAAAAGAGGAAGGAGCGGGAGACCGAGAAAGAGAAGGAACAACTTAAGGGAAAAGAAGAGAAAGAGAAGGACAACAGCGCCTTGACGAAGCCCCCGCTGGAGCCGCCGGTAAGGGTCGGGCGCCTCGACCCGCTCTCCAAGGCCGCGGGGGGCAGTCAGGCCCGAGCGCCGCCGGCTCTGTTACGTCCGAGGCCCCGACCTGCGCGGGAGGGAATCAGGCCTCCTTTGAGGGCATTTTATTTTTTTATTTTTTATTTTTTTAAAGATTTTATTTATTTATTTGAGACAGAAAGAATGAGAGAGCACATGAGAGGGGGCAGGGTCAGAGGGAGAAGCTCCCGAGCAGGGAGCCCGATGCGGGACTCGATCCCGGGACTCCAGGATCATGACCTGAGCCGAAGGCAGTCGCTTAACCGACTGAGCCACCCAGGCGCCCCGAGGGCATTTTAATCTGCGGGTGGAAGGGGGTGTGCCACGCTTCCCAAGACCCGTCGCTAGCCCCTTCTCCCTGTCACCTGCCTTACCCTCACTCCTAACCCGGCCCCTGCGTCCCACCCTCGGGCGGGGTAGCGGCGAGGAAGAAGAGGTCCCGGTTGGTGTGCCCGGGGCGGAAGCGGCCCTTCTCGGGCCCCGTCTCCGTGCAGCGCTGGCGGCGCTGGCGCACACGCCGCCTACGGTGCCGAAACCAGCCCCGAGCCGTCGCCGCGCTCGGGCTCTCTCTCCGACTCCTTTCCGTAGTGCAGGGTTCCTGAATTCGTGCAGCTGTGTGTGAGGGCTGGACCTTCTCCGTGGTTACTCCTTCCGTTGTTTTCCGGCTACCAGCGCCCAGAGGGACGGTCACACAGTTGTAACTGAGAGGTCTCTGCACTGCAATCACAAAAAGAAATACCTATGGTACTATTTATATGAGGTACCTAGAGTGGTCGGAATCGTGGAGTAGAATTGGTGGTTGCCTGAGGCTGCGGGGAGAGAGAATGGTAATGACTACAGAGTTTCAGTTTTACAGGATGAAGCGTTAGGGAGATGGAGGGTGGTGATGGCTGCACAGCATCATGAATGTATTTAATACCACTGAACTGTATGCTTAATAATGGGTAAGATGGTAAATTTTATATTATGTGTATTTTACCACAGTGAAAAAATTGAGGGGGTGGAGGATAAAAAGAAAGAAAAAACAGGCATTGTTTGGATCAGCTTAATAAGCTTCTTGCTCCTGGAGTTCCTGAGCTCACAGGTGCTTTCTGGTTCTAAACAATTTTAATTTTTTTTTTAAAAAGATTTTATTTATTTGACAGAGAGAGACAGCGAGAGAGGGAACACAAGCAGGGGCGGGGGGCGGAGAGGGAGAAAGCCTCTCCGCCGAGCAGGAAGCCCGATGTGGGGCTACATCCCAGGACTCGGATCATGACCCTTGGGATCATGACCTGAGCCAAAGGTAGAGGCTTAACGACTGAGCCACCTAGGCGCCCCTAAACAATTTGAATTATTAACTGCGATTTGATCTCTGGTAAAACACAGATTATTATAGATCCATATATTGTTAAAAGAATGACTACTGACAGGGAACAGTGGTGTTCAAAATCCCAAATTGTGTCAGAACTTTTGGCTTAACAGTAATCCTAGCTTTCCTGAAGAGATGATAAACATGAGAAAGCATGTATTTTAGCATGTGTTTTGCTAAAAAATAAAGTAAAATGTAACCATCAGTGACTGCAGAATTCCTAGACAGGGTAGAGTAAGGACAGGCATGTGGTTGGAAAGAGAGTACGGAACTGTTTTTACTCACAATATTTCATAGGATCTCAGATACCATTATTTTAGCACCATTGAGAAAGAAAAAAAAAAGTGCTGCCAATCAAAACATGACATACCCAGACACTTGGGTGGCTCAGTCGATTAAGCATCCCACTCTTGATTTCAGCTCAGGTCATGATCTCAGGGTCCTGAGATCAAGTCCCACCTGGAGCTCTGCACTCAGCCAGGAGTCTTCTTGAGATTCTCTCTCTCTCCCTCTGCCCCTTCTCCTAATCCCACAGCCTAGGCTCTTTCTAAAAAAAAAAAGACATGAATTGTAAAACTCTCATTTTGGAGATGTTAAAATGGGGGGAGGAGTGCATCTTGGAATTGATAAAATATGTTGGGGTAGCCTTAAGTGGGGCCATTGGTAGAGACAGTAAGGGGGACACAATCCACACCCTACAGCCATTTCTTGGCCCCAACTTTCTTTAAAGCATGCAATTTAAATCATCCTACGAAGTATTCTCTATCAATGAAGTCCTTCTTCCTCACCACCACACTCCCAGAATGACACTATAACGTTTAGATGCAGATGGGAGGGAATGGGGATGAAGATAGAAAATAACTATGGAGGGGTGCCTGGGTGGCTCAGTCGTTAAGCATCTGCCTTCTGCTCAGGTCATCATCCCAGGGTCCTGGCATCAAGCCCCACATTGGGCTCCCTGCTCAACGGGAACCCTGCTTCTCCCTCTCCCACTCCCCCTTGCTTGTGTTCCCTCTCTCGCTGTGTCTGTCTCTGTCAAATAAGTAAATAAAATCTTAAAAAAAGAAAATAACTATGGAAATACCATTTGCTTTGAGCCATCAAGAACTCCAAAAACAAACATGTACTTTTTCTAATTCTGTTATTCAAAAGACAGTTTTCATAAATCATGCTCTCTATACAACCATATTAGAGCAGATCTTCAAACATCTTACTTTCACATAGATCTTATTTTCAAAAAAAGTGGGATAGTGAAAAAAATTAACTTTCTATTAGAAACCCAGTCTAAATCTAATGTCAATATTTAGTGTTCAAGTACAAATGTAAAAGATTATTATTTCCAAACCAATGTCATTGAAGATAATTACTGGTGTTTTTGTGCATGAGAAGCTTCTTCAGTAGGCAGTTTGGGAAATAGAATTGAATTCCTATGGGTAATCTGGCTGTATTGTTGGTCATTTATTACTGTTCACTTTAAATTGTGCACCCTAAAAGCCACTTTTCTGAGCCCTTTGAACTTTTCATACCAGTCTGCCCTTCTTGTCTCTCAGTCACTTGTCATAAAAATTTCTAAGTCTGGTATATTGGTGGAATGATTCTTTCTAAAGTTTATGTCAAGTTCAACAGGTTTTAACATCAGGTTCTAAAATAAATGTTCATTTGTGATAGGAACCTGTTTAACAATTTCTGTAACCTTAGCCTTTTCATTTAATCATGATACTTATATTTAAAAGTATTCACTTGCCCTAAAGTCTTTTAATCTAGTTAGTGATCCAATTAGGAAAAGAAAACAGATCAATAATATGAGACCTTAGGTGCTTACATGCTGAATGGCATAGTCAGTACATGAACCATAGAGGTCCCAAGATCCCAAACAACAAACTGAATTCTGAAGCAATCCCCAGTGGACATGAACTCAAGAAGCAAAGTGAAGTCTGAAAATTGATCCTGCAATCTATGGCACCTCCTATAAATCCTGATATATATATATATGAAGTCTTTATTTAATAGATTAATCACCATCATTCTAGTTGGGGGTTGGAGGGATGTGGTATGATTAATACCACATAACTAATGGCTGGTTATAAAATACAAACTGTTTGGTACAGTTTGTTCTAGATCTATTAAATTTTTTTTAAGTAAGCTCTATGCCCAACATGGGGCTTGAACTCATGACCCCAAGACCAAGAGTCCCATGCTCTACCAACTGAGCCAGCCAGGTGCTCCTAGACATATTAAATGTTCTGTGAAGTTTTGTTCTGGTTTACAATTTCACAATTATTATTGGGTCCTATCACAGGCAGGCACACTGCCAGGACCCAGGAAAACAAGGCCCTGGTTGCATAGGTTTATTGATTTGTCTTTTGTTTTCACAGGAGAAAAATAAGCAGATCCTTGTGTTGGGCCTGGATGGAGCAGGAAAGACCAGTGTTCTGCACTCTCTAGCTTTAAACAGAGTCCAGCACAGCGTGGCACCCACCCAAGGTTTCAATGCAGTGTGCATCAGCACTGAAGATAGCCAGATGGAGTTTCTGGAGAGTAAGCCCTCTTTCTCATTAGTAACAGGATAGGCTTATCTTGTTATACCTTAAGCCAGACATACTGTTAGCAACATTACACCCTTACGAAAAGTGACACTGGGTCAGGTTTTCCTACGCTTTTAGAATGCATATATAGTTTAATAGTGCACTGTGGAGGAAATCACTTTCTATTCTTATTTCCTCCTTTTTTCAGGGCTGGCATATGAGGGAGCTGCAAGGAAGGCTATAGCACCCCCTCCTATAATAGCCTCTCTTGTCCCTTACTACCGCCAATAAACATTCAATCTAAGTAAATACAACATACTTCCTTCTCTGCAAATGCAACTATGAACAAGCCCCAAACCTCTTTTTATAACCAGAGGGCAGCCCAGAAGTCTCTATGCTAAAGTAATTCTGGAGTCACCCCCCTCTAAATATTGCTATTCTCCAAAGTTGCATTAGATTTTGTTCTTTACATTCTCTCCTTGGATGATTTCCTCCATCCTATTGGCCTTAAATACCATCTCTGTGCTAATGACTCCCAAATTTATCTATCCAGCCCAAGCATACCCAAATGTCACCTGACATCTTTACCTGGATATCTAATTTGGACTCTCAAACCTAAAATGGTCAAAACAAAGTGCTTGATTTATCTCTATATCTGTTCCTTTCCCTGTAATCTACTGCTCAGTAAATGGTTCTTCACCTATCGTGTTACTCAAGCCAGAAAACTAGGAGTCACCCTTAATGTCTCCTTTTGCACCCCCAACTCCAGTCCACAAATAAAACACTATGAATTTTTCTACCTCTAAACAAAGCTTGAATTCATCAGCTATATCCTTTCCTACTGCACCTATTTCAGCTGGAACCTACACCATCTCTCCCTTAGATTACTGTAATCAACTTTTTATTTTTGCTTTCATCCAGTTACAAAAAGAACATATGGGCAGAGAAATTGGTCAACGTGTAGGCAAATCTTTCAGCTAACAACATAATCAGGAATAGAGGTTTTAATTTGTTCAGAAGCTATAGAAGAAATAATAATTTTAACCAAATAGCTAAGAAAATAGTCTCAAAATATAAAAAATGAAAAGAAAGGAAGGAAGGAACAAAGGAATGAAAAGAAAGGGAGAATCCAACTAGGGAAAAAAATAGACATATTTACCATTGGAGTGAGGGATTTCAACATATTGTCAATTATTAATAGAATCAAAGAGGAAAGAATCAGCAAAGATACAAAGAATTTGAACACAATCAACAAGTTTCATCCAACGGACAATATAAGATTGTTCAATTAGACAATTTTAGCTACATCCCAAAGCTAAAATACATGTTCTTCTCAAAGACTCATGGAACATTTACCAAAATTGACCACCTGATGGACCATACAGCAAGTGTTAACAAATTTTTCAGAGAAGGGGCATCATACAAACCATGTTCTTTGAATACATTGCAATTAAGTCAGAAGTTAATAACAAAAAGATAAAAATCCCTATATAGGTGAAATGTCATGATGTCACAAAAAAAGTTGAGGAACAACCCAAATGTTCATTCATGCTTAAACTAAATATGTTAAAACCATATGAATTACTTAGAAGATTACACAACATTCTTTTAAAAAGTGAATTACACAAAATCCTTTAGGGAATTAGTCTAGCTCTGTAAAAGGAAAACAAAGGACAGACAAATCGAGACACTTTCCCAGTAGTATTTTAAATGTTTTTGTTAAATTCCTAAAACAAAGGTCTTCAAACTTTTTCTGTAAAGGGCTAGGTAGTAAATAATTTAGGCTTTGGGGGCCGCATGGTCTCTATGCAGCTACTAAACTCTGTTGTAGTTTGGAAGCAGCCATAGACAATATGTGAATAAGTCCACGTCTATGTTCTTATAAACCGTTATTTGTAGACACTGAAATACAAATGTGACATAATGTTCCAATGTCATGAAATGTTATTCTTTCTCTTTTTTTTCCCCCAACACTTAAAAATGTAAAATCCATTCTTTGTTCCTGGGCTGTACAAAAATAGGCAGTGGGCCAGATTTAGACTTGGGCCATAGTTTGCCAGCCTCGTTCTAGGAGAAAAATAAAAATTAAATTCATTGTGTATATATTATTATCATTACCAGTAAGTTTCTTCTGGGGAGAATCAGCAGAATGAAATAGTCCAAAGGCGTTTTTTTTTCTGAGCCAAGTATTCTTAAATGCCCACAGGATCCTATTAAATCTTAGTGCAATGTTAAGAGGAGAAATTAGTTCTGGGATTTTGACAAAGGAAAAAGATGGTGCAAGTGAGGCTGGCCAGTGAATTCAGTCTATTTAAAACTTATTTTGGAGAAAGGTGTGTTTTAACCTATCACCCTGAATTATTTTAGTAACATATTCCCATTTTCTGAGCTTAAGTGATAGGCAGTGGCCTCCATGGCTGTTATGAATTATAGATCGGGGTCTACTGTATCCACTGTAGTGGATCTAGGGTCTTTATGCTGAGTCTTTGTGTCCCAGAATGATTGAACCACTTATGGAGGGTAAATATTCCCACCAGCCATTTCCCTAGGAATATGTCTCTGGCCATTCTCAGAATTGGGTACACTCTTACACAGTGGCATTTTATCAGAACACCCGTCCAGTGTTTGGAAATTATCTAAAAGTGCCTTTCCTGCCTCCTCAGTGGATGCTTCTGCAATGTTTTTTGGTGTAGGCAAATCTTTCTCTACTCTTCTCTGTAGTTGGTGGCAGTGAACCTTTCCGTTCCTATTGGGAAATGTACCTATCCAGAGGATTGCTGCTGATCTTTGTGGTGGATTCAGCTGATCACAACAGATTACCTGAAGCCAAGAAACACCTTCATCAATTAATCGGAACAAACCCAATCCTTCCTCTGGTTGTGTTTGCAAACAAACAGGTAAAAATTTGGGCAAATATAAATTTTACTCAATAGTTTTATTATTACTAAAAGAAATAAAAATGTCTACTTTTAATAGCTAGATATTTAAAAATATGCTGTATATTCAGTTTATTTTATACTTATAAGATCTCCTAGATTATAAACCCCTTGAGAATAAAGACCATCATTCATCTTTGTGTCCCTTATACTGAACAAGCATAGTAGAAATTCAACAAATATGCATTGAATTTAATTCAATAAACATTTACTGATGGTTGAATTGATTTCAACAAAATATTTGAGTGTCTACCATACATAAAGAAATAGTTTGCTTTAGATTAATTAGCCTGACCTGAATTTATTTCACATACACAAAGAATATTAAACAACCATGGAGAAACTGGAACCCTGTACAGTGTCGTTGGGAATGTAAAATGGTGCAGCCACTTTAGAAAACAGCATGGCAGTTCCTTAAAAAATTAAAAATGGAACTCACATATAATCCAGCAATTCCATGTCTGGGTATATACTCAAAAGAAATGAAAGCAGGAACTCAAACAGATACTCATACATCCATGTTCACAGAAGAATTATTCACAATAGTCAAAAGGTAGAAGTAACCCAAGTGTCCCTCCATGGTTGAATGGATAAACAAAATGTGATATATACATACAATGGAGTATAATTCAGCCTTAAAAAAGGAAATTCTGACACATGCTGTGATATGGATAAACCTTAAGGACATTATGCTAAGAGAAATAAGCCAGCAACGAAACAACTAATATTGTATAATTCCACGTTCATGAGGTACCTAGAATAGTCAAATTCATAGAGACAGAAAGTAGATTAGAGGTTACCAGGGAATGGGAGGAGAGGAGAAGGAGGAGTCATTGTTTAATGGGTACTAAGTTTATATTGGTGATGGTTGCCTTGGGTTGGGGGAAGGAGAAATGGGAGTTATTGCTTTGTGGGTACAGAGTTTCAATTTTGCAAGATGAAAAGACTTCTGGAGGTGGATGGTTGCACAACAGTGTGAATGTACTGAACTGTACACTCATACATGGTTAAGGTGGTAAATTTTGTTATGTGTATTTTACCACAATAAAAAAAAAGTTAAAAAAAATTAAACATCTATAGTATTGTAATACTAAAGCCCCTCCTTCAATTGCTAATATTGCCAATCATTAAGGAACTTGATTCTTCCACTACTTCTAAGGGTGAATGCTTATGGCAGTAAACTAAGTAGTTAACAAATGATGACCTAAAGGAGGAGCCTATGTTACAGTTCAGCATGGACGCTAGTCCTGCAGATTATATTGAAAAGAAAGGCTGGAGCTTTTGTTTTATTTTGTTTTGAACTGCAGCATCTTAAATACCACAAATTACAAAGACCATGGTACATGTAAGTGAGCTGTATGGTATTCAATTGGATTAATGTACCACAATTATACCATTTTCATGCTGGGTGTTTGGGTTATTTCCAATTGTTTATTGTTCTAAACTGCCGCAGTGAATCTTCATGTATGTGTCTTCTTGTAGATGTGTATCAACATTTCTCTAGTGCATACACCTAAGAGAGGAATTGCTGGGTTTCTGGATTTGTACATACTCAGTTTTACTAGATCTTACCAAGTTGCTTTCCAAAGATATTGCACCAATTTATTCTTCCACCAGCAGAATATGATAGATTTTTGCAGCTTCACATCCATCTCAATACTTGGTATTGTCAAACTTTTTCATTTTTGCTAATCTGATGGGGCTGAAATTTTATCCTATATTTTAATTTGCATTTCCTTAATTACTAGTGAGCTTGAACATCTTTTCAGATGTGCATTGGTTATTAGTTTCAAACTTGTTTCATTCTTTGAAACTAATTTCCACATCTGTGAGTTGTCTTTTATTTATTTATTTTTAGAAAGAGGGAGAGCAAGTGAGAGAGAGGGGAGGGGCAGAGGGAGAGGGAGAGAAAGAATCTCAAGCAGGCTCCCTGCCCAGTGCAGAGTCCGATATGGGGCTTGATCCCACAACCCCAAATCGTGACCCGAGTGGCAGTCAAGAGTAGGTTGCTCAACTGACTGAGCCACCCAGGCACCCCTGTGAATTGTCTTTTAATATTTCTTCCCAAATTTCTATTAGGGTATTTATCTTTTCTTATTTGAGTTGTAGAAATCTTTCATATCTTTGGGAAAAATAATCCTGTGTTATTTATATGCATTACATATATCTTCTTCAGCAACCTGTTGACGATTATTTTACTTTGCTTATGGTTCTCTTCTTTATATATAGCTTTCCATTTATTTTTTTAACACATTTTTTAAAAATTATTTTCATTCCAATGTAGTTAACATACAGCAATATATTACTTTCAGGTGTATAATATAGTGATTCAGTAGTTCCACATATTACTCAGTGCTCATCAAGAAAGTATACTCTTAACCCTCTTCACCTATTTCACCCACCCCCCACTCACCTCCCCTCTGGTAACTGTTTGTTCTCTATAGTTAAGAGTATGTTTTTTGGTATGCCTCTTTTTATTTCCTTTGTTTCTTTTGTATCTTAAATTTCACTTGGAGTGAAATCATATGGTATTTGTCTTTCTCTTACTGGCTTATTTCACTTAGCATTGTACTCTCTAGATCCATCCATGTTGTTGCAAATGGCAAGATTTCATTCTTTTTTATGGCTGAGTAATATTCCTCCGTGTGTGTGTGTGTGTGTGTGTGTATACCACATCTTCTTTAGCCATCTATTGATGGATACTTGGGTTGCTTCCATAGTTTGACAGTTGTAAATAATGCTTCAATAAACACAGGGGTGCATATATCCCTTTGAATTAGTGTTTTCTTATTCTTTGAGAAAATACCCAATAGTGTGATTACTAGATTATAGGGTAGTTCTATTTTTTTTTTTTTTTAAGTAAACTCTACACCCAGTGTGGGGCATGAACTCATGACTTTGATCAAGGGTCACATGCTCTACTGACTGAGTCAGCCAGACGTCCCAGGGTAGTTCTATTTTTAATCTTTGGAGGAACTATTTTCCACAATGGCTGCACCAGTTTACATTCCTACCAACAGTGCACGAGGGTTCCTTTTTCTCCACATCCTCACCAACACTTGTTATTTCTTGTGGTTTTGATTTTAGCCATTCTAAAAGGTGTGAGGTGATAACTCATTGTGGTTTTGATTTGCATTTCCCTGATGATGAGTGATTTGAGCATCTTTTCATGTGTCTTTTGGCCATTTGTATGTTGTCTTTAGAAAATGTCTGTTCATGTCTTCTGTTTTTTAATTGGATTATTTGTTTTTTTTGTGTGTTTTGAGTTGTGTAAGTTCTTTATATTTTGGATACTAATTCTTTATTGGATATGTCATTGGTGAATATCTTCTCCCATTCAGGAGCTTGTCTTTTAATTTTGTTGGTTGTTTTTTGTTTTGTTTTGTTTTTGTTGTGGAGAAGCTTTTTATTTTCATATACTTCCAATAGTTTATTTTTGCTTTTGTTTCCCTTGCCTCAGCAGACATATCTAGAAAGATGTTGCTATGACCAATTTCAGAGAAATTACTGCCTGTGTCTCTTCTAGGATTTTTATGGTTTCAGGTCTCACATGTAAGTCCTTAATCCATTTTTAGTTTGTTTTCGTTATTGTGTAAGAAAATGATCCAGTTTTATTCTTTTGCATGTTGCTGTCCTGTTTTCCCAACACCACTTGTTTTTTCCATTACATATTCTTGCCTCCTTTGTCCTAGCTTAATGGACCGTATAATTGTGAGTTTATTTCTGAGCTTTGTACTCTGTTCTGTTGATCTGTGTGTCTGTTTTTGCGCCAGTACCATACTGTTTTGATTACTACAGCTTTGTAATATAACTTGAAGTCTAGAATTGTGCTACCTCCAGTTTTGTTTTTCTTTTTCAAGATTGCTTTGGCTTTTGGGGGTCTTTTTTGGTTTTATACAAATTTTAGGATTGTTTGTTCTAGTTCTGTGAAAAATGCTGTTGGTATTTTGATAGCTATTGCATTAAATCTGTATATTGCTATGGGTTATATAGACATTTTAACAATCTTTGTTCTTTCAATCCATGAGCATGGGATATCTTTCCATTTCCTTGTGTTGTCTTCAATTTCTTTCAACAGAGTTTCATAGTTTTCACAATACACATCTTTGGCTCCTTGGTTAGGTTTATTCCTAGGTTTTTATTATTTTTGGTGCCATTATAAATGAGATTTTTTTCTTAATTTCTCTTTCTGCTGCTTCATTATTAGCATATAGAAATGCAACAGATTTCTGTACATTGATTTTGTATCTTGCAACTTTACTGAATTCATTTATCAGTTCTAGTAGTTTTTTGGTGGAGTCTTTAGGGTTTTCTATATATTGTGCCATGTCATCTGCAAATAGTGAAAATTTGACTTCTTCCTTACTAACACAAATTACTTGCTAAATTTCTTGGCTGATTGCTGTGACTAGGACTTCCAGTACTATGTTGAATAACAGTGGTGAGAGTGGACATCCTTGTCTTGTTCCTTACCTTAGGAGAGAACTCTCAGTTTTTCCTCATTAAGTATGATGTTAGCTGGGGGGTTTTCATATAAGGTCTTTATTGTGTTGAGGTATGTTCTCTCTAAACCTACTTTGTGGAGGGTTTTTTATCATGACTGGATTAATTACATTGTCAAATGCTTTTTCTGCAACTATTGAAATGATCATATGGTTTCTATCCTTTCTTTTATTGATGTGATGTATCATGTTGCTTGATTTGCAAATATTGAACCACTCTAGCATCCCAGGAATAAATCCCACTTGATTGTGGTGAATATATTTTTTAATGTATTGTTGGATTCTGTTTGCTAATATTTTGTTGAGGATTTTTGCATCTATGTTCATCAAAGATATTGGCTTGTAGTTCTCTTTTTTGTGGTGTCTTTCTCTGGTTTTGGTATCAGTGTAATGCTGGCCTCATAGAATGAATTTGGAAGTTTTCCTGTTTTCTGAAATATTTTGAGAAGAATAGGTATTAACTCTTCTTTAAATGTTTGGTAGAATTCACCTGTGAAGCCATATGGTCCTGGACTTTTGTTTGTTGGAAGTTTTTTGATTACTGATTTGATTTCATTGCTGGTAATTGGCCTGTTCAGATTTTTATTTCTTCCTGATTCAGTTTTGGGAGGTTATATGTTTCTAGGACTTTATCCATTTCTTGTAGGTTGTCCAATTTGTTGGCATATAATTTTTCATGACATTCTTTTACAATCATTAGTATTTGTGTGGTGTCAGCTGTTATTTCTCCTCTTGTTTTTTATTTTGTTTGAGTCCTCTCTCTCCCTCTCTCTTTATGAGTCTGGCTAAAGGTTTATCAATTTTGTTGATCTTTTCACAGAACCAGCTTCTGGTTTCATTGATCTGTTCTATTGTTTTTTTGTTTTGTTTTGTTTTTGTTTGTTTTTTTAGTGTCCATGTCATTTATTTCTGCTCCAGTGTTTATTATTTCCTTCCTTCTGCTAGTTTGCGGTTTTGTTCTTTTTATAGCTCCTTTATGTGTACAGGTAGTTTGTTTACCTGAGATTTTTCTTGCTTCTTGAGGTGGGCCTGTATTGCTATAAACTTCCCTTCCCAAAGATTTTGGACCGTTGTGTTTTCATTTTCATTTTTCTCCATGTAATTTTTTATTTCTTGGTTGATCCACTCATTTTTAGTAGCATGTTATTTAGCCTCCATCTATTTGTGCTCTTTCCAGATTTTTTTTTCTTGTGGTTGATATCTAGTTTCATAGCATTGTGATCAGAAAAGATGTATGGTGGGCAAGTGAGAGTGAGAGAAAGAGAGAGAGAGAGAGAGAGAGAGAGAAAACATGAGTGGGGGGAGGGGCGGAGGGAGAAACAAACTCCCCGCTAGTGGGAACCCAAGGTGGGGCTCAATTCTGGGACTCTGGGGTCATGACCTGAGCCGAAGGCCAATGCCCCTTCATCTTCTTCTTTTTTTAAAGTAGACTCTACATCCAGCGTGGCGCTCCAACTCATGAACCTGTGATCAAGAGTTCCATGCTCTAATGACTGAGCCAGCCAGGCACCCATCCCTAATGGGCTTTTATCACTACAAGGAACCCCTCTTTTTATCCAACATTCTCCTTGTATTTTCTTCCTCTCCAGTTCTATCAGTGAATTTATTACCTTGAGACATTGTACCCAGGTTACTGGATCCATTAACACAGTTCAAAAGTTACTACAGGCTCTATGGGGCGCCTGGGTGGCTCAGTCGTTAAGACTCTGCCTTCAGCTCAGGTCATAATCCCAGGGTCCTGGGATCGAGCCCCGCATCGGGCTTCCTGCTCGGTGGGAAGCCTGCTTCTCCCTCTCCCACTCTCCCTGCTTGTGTTCCCTCTCTCTCTGTGTCTCTCTCTGTCAAATAAATAAATAAAATCTTTTTTAAAAAAAAGTTACTACAGGCTCTAAAAATAAATGAATTCTGATCTCAGACAGGCAATATATTGGGATGACCAACATCTAGAAATGTAATCAACTGCAGCCATATACCACCAGAAACATTTTTCTGGATATGTCTCCTGAGGCAAGGGAAATAAAAGCAAAAATAAACTTTTGGGACTACATAAAAATAAAAAGCTTCTGCACATCAAAGGAATCCATTGACAAAACAAAAAGGCAAGGGGCGCCTCTGTGGTTCAGTTGGCTTAAGATCCTCAGGGTCTGTGGAATGGAGCCCCTAATTGGCTTCCTGCACAGTGGGGAGCCTACTTCTCCCTCTTCCCTGCTGCTCCCCCGATCATGCTCTCTCTTGCTATCTCTCTCTCTCTCTCTCCCAAATAAATAAATAAAATCTTTTTTTAAAAAGGCAAATACTGATTGGGAAAAAATATTTGCAAATGATATATCTGATAAGGATTTAATATCCAAAATATGTAGAGAACTTACAAAAGTCAACATTCAAAAAACAAATAATCCGGGCACCTGGGTGGCTCAGTTGGTTAAGCAACTGCCTTCGGCTCAGGTCATGATCCTGGAGTCCCTGGATCGAGTCCCGCATCGGGCTCCCTGCTCGGCGAGGAGCCTGCTTCTCCCTCTAACCCTCCCCGCTCTCATGTACTCTCTCTCTCTCTCTCATTCTCACTCTCTCAAATAAATAAATAAATCTTTGGGAAAAAAAAAAAAGAAAATTTTGAAAAAAAAAAACCAAATAATCCAATTTAAAAATAGGTAGAAGATATGATGAACAGACATTTCTCCAAAGAAGACATACAGATGTCCAACAGACACATGAGAAAGATGCTCAACACCATTAATCATCAGCAAAATGCAAATCGAAACCACAATGAGCTATCACTTCACACCTGTCAGAATGGCTAGAATCAAAAAGACAAGAAATAACAAGTGTTGGTAAGGATGTGAAAAAAGGACCCTTGTGCATTGCTGACAGGAAAGTAAATTGGGACAGACACTGTGGAAAACATTATGGTGGGTCCTCACAAAATTAAAAACAGAAATACCATATGATCCAATAATTCTATTACTGAGTATTTACCCAAAAAACGAAAAAAGCAAAAAACACACCAATTCGAAAAGGTATATGCATCCATGTGTTTATTGCAGCATTATTTACAGTAGCCACGATAAGGAAGCAGCCCAAGTGTCCACCAACAGGTAAATGGATAAAGAAGGTGTAGTATATATACATATATTGGAATATTACTCACCATAAAAAAGAATGAGATCTTGCCATTTGTGAGACCAGGGGTGGACCTAGAGGGTATTATGCTAAGTGAAATGAGACAAATACCATACGATTTCACTTACATCTGGAATCTGGACAACAAAAGAACAAACAAATAAAAAGGAGAAATAGACCCATAAATACAGAGAACAAACTGATGGTTGCCAGAGGGGAGAGTGGTAGAGGGATGGGCAAAAAGGAGTGAAAGGGAATGGGCGATACAGGCTTCCAGTTATGGAATGAATAGGTCACAGGGATGAAAGGTACAGTGTATAGTGCTATATGCTGAATATAATCAATGGTATCATAATAGCATTGTACGGTGAGAGATGGTAGCTACACTTATGGTGAGCATAGAATAACATACAGAGTTGTCAAATTACTATGTTGTACACCGAAAACTAATGTAATATTGTATGTCAACTGTACTTCAATAAAAAAAAAATTGATCCTATTGAGTATGATTTTGGATAAATAAAAAAGAAATGGAAAAACAAAAATAGAAGCAGATTGACCAAAGTGTTTGTAAAACTGATTAAGGTATAGAATGGCTTAATTTCATTCCGAAAATGCTTTCTTGATGATAGCTCGTAACTGCTGGTATAATTCTGCTGCCCTTTATGTTTTCTCTCATTTTTTTGGTAAGTAATCTCTATACCCAATATGGGGCTCAAACTCACAACCCCAAGATCAGGAGTTCTACCAACTAAGCCAGCCAGATGCCCCATTGCTGATGTAATTCTGATTAAAAAAGACAACCACTGGGGTCATAATAATGGGGTCACAATATCCTTCACATTAAAACAGAGGTTTTAATCATTGAGAGCAATAAATGAGAATAATAAATGTATCTATCCAAAAGGATTGCAAAATAACCAGCTTTTTCCTATCCTTTTTCTATTCTGGGTGAAGGATCTTGAAGCAGCCTATCGTATTACCGATATCCATGAAGCTTTGGCATTGTCTGAGGTGGGAAACGACAGGAAGATGTTCTTGTTTGGGACCCAAGTGACTGAGAACGGCTCAGAAATACCCTCCGTCATGCAAGATGCCAAAGACCTGATTGCACACCTGGCTGCAGACGTGCAGGGACCACGCCCAGGCCCACTGTGCAGCTGTCAATCTAGATCTCCCTAGGGAGTGTTGAGTGACAGGTTTGAAGCCAAAGGTTTCCACTGTCCAATAAAAAATAAGCCATTTCCTATTTTCTTAGTGCATGACATATATAGAAAGATAATGTTAATTGATTAAGAGCCTCTCTATGTTTCGATTTTAAACTTTAAAAATATTGGTAAAATAATATATTCGGGGGATATTTGGATTTTCATCAACAAAATTAAAGTGAACATTAGTAAGCATTCAAACCATTTGCAGTTTTTTGATGACATGAGATTTATATTAAAATATTTTAATAAACTACCTCTTTTCAATAAAAATCAAGGTGTCTTTCCTTAAGTAGATTCACTTAACACTGTAAGGAAAGAAATATCAGGATAAGGCAATGAGAAAAGTGAGCACTATCAGACATACATAGAAATATAAATTAACAGTATTTAGAAAGATTTAGAAAAGCCTTCTTTCAGGAGCCTTATATACTAGAATAGGAACACTGAGGATTTGATTTTTAAATACTTGCATTTTGCTTTTATACATAGATAAGCTTTCTTCACCAGAAATATTTTATGATACCTCTGTTTACCTACAAACATGATAAAAATCCAACTTTTAACCTAGTGTCTTGTCTTGTTAAAAAACAAAAGGACTTCAGTTTCTAGTCAGTATGTAAGAGGCTCAGAAGCTGTCACTCCATTCTAACAAGTGAAAAGCTAAACAGACTGAAAAATCAACCACTCTTCTAGGACCCATAAGAGCGGTGAGGACACAAGGCAAACTGCTCCCCCCAAGATTGAAGAAACCAATAAAAGAATACAAAGAATGATAATTTACTGGCAAAGAGCTTCATGGGTGGAAACCAACTGTGGGAACCAGTGCCAGGGTAGGAAAACCAGAACTGTAATTGACGAATTGCTGGAGGTCCAGATGGATGACTATGAGTTAAAACTCCAGGGGATCCAGGCATAGTGGGGTCCTTAAAATTTTGTGAGACTTATTTCCAGGAGCTTGATGAGATTCCCACAGCAAATACCAGAGAAAAACCCCCTGGTGCTTCCAGAAGAGGGAGAAGGGAACCATTTTGAAATATACCAAAGCATTCTGTCTTTATTAACAAAGCCTGCCTTTAGGGGAAACTAGTTAACCAGAACCTAACTTGCTGGGGTATTATCAAACCCTAACCTGGGGAAGAGAAATACCCAACTTCAGCCCATTCTAGCCATTTTGTCCCACATCAGCAAAGAAGAAAACAAAGGCACACATGTGAAATTCACAATCCAGAGGCAAAGGCTCAGTAAAAGACTAAGACCAATCATAGGACTATAGAACACTTCTCCCTCCCACATCTCACCACCACATTACTAAAGGTCTGTTTATAGCAGTTTCTTAATTAGTACATCATGCTTGGCTATCAAGGAAAAATTATAAGACATGCCATAAGCCACTGGGAGGCTCAGTTGGTTGATTGACTCTTGATCTCAACTCAGGTCTTCATCTCAGGGTTGTGAGTTCAAGCCCTGTGTTGGGCTCTGTGCTGGGGGTGGAGCCTACTTAATAAAAAACAAAACAAAACAAAAAAACAACCATACAGAAGAGACATCAGAACCATATGCAGCATTGGAACCACTATGGCAGAGATGTTAGGATTGTCAGAACAGGAATTTAAAACAACTTGATGATTAATATGATTAACATGCTAAGAGTTCTAATGGATAAAGTAGACAGCATTCAAAATCAGATGGGTAATGTAAGCAGAGATGAAATTTTAAGAAAGAACCAACAAGAAATCTGAAAGATTAAGAAAAACTTTGTAATAGAAATGAAGAATGCCTTTGATGAGCTTATTAGTAGACCAGACACAGCTGAGGAAAAAAAAATCTCTTGAGTTTGAGGATATCTCAATAGAAACCTCCAAAACTGAAAAGCAAGAACAGACTGGGAAACAAACAAACAACGACAACAACAAAAAAAACCAGAACAGAATATCCAGGGACTGTAGGACCACTACAAAAGATATAAAATGCATGTAATGGGAATACCAGAAGGAGAAAAAAGAAAAAAAGAAATAGAAGAAATATTTGAAACAATAATGACTGTGCAGAATGCCCCAAATTAATGTTAGACTTCAAACCACAGATCCAAGAGGGTTAGAGAACACCAGTCAGCATAAATGCCCCAAAAAACTACACGTAGACATATCATTTTTAAGCTGCAGAAAATTAAAGATAAGAAAAAAAAATCAGGAAAGAAGTCAGAGGAAAAAACACCTTACCTATAGAGGAACAAAGATAAGAATTACATTCGGCTTCTCCTCAGAAACCATGCAAGTAAGAAGAGAGTGAGTGAAACATTGAAAGGGTTGAAAGGGAAAACCCACCAACCTAGAATTCTGTACTCTGAGAAATTATCCTTTAAAAATAAAGGAGAAAGACTTTTTTTCTTTTTTCTTTTTTTAAAAAGATTTTATTTATTTATTTGACAGAGAGAGACACAGCGAGAGAGGGAACACAAGCAGGGAGAGCAGCGGAGAGAGAGGGAGAAGCAGGCCTCCCGCCAAGCAGGGAGCCCGATGCGGGACTCGATCCCAGGACCCCGGGATCATGACCTGAGCCGAAGGCAGACGCTCAACGACTGAGCCACCCAGGCACCCCAAGGAAAAAGACTTTCTCAAATGAACAAAAATTGAGGGAATTTGTTGCCAATAGACCTGCCTTGCGAGAAATGTTAAAAGAAGTTCTTCAGGGAGAAGGAAAATCATACAGGTCAGAAATTCAGATCTTAAAGGAAGAATACTGGAAAAGAAATAAGTGAAGGTAAAATTAAAACTTGTATTTTTTTATTCCTTTTTTTTTTTAAAGATTTTATTTATTTATTTATTTGAGAGAGAGAGTGAGCATGGGGAGGAGCAGAGGGAGAAGCAGACTCCCCGCTGAGCAGGGAGCCTGGATCCGGGATCCCAGGACCTCTGGATCACGACCAGAGTGGAAGGCAGATGCTAAACTGACTGAGCCACCCAGGCACCCCACGAAAAGAGGATTTGTTCTGCAAATCCTTCCTTTTAAAATTTGGGATTTGTGGCACCAAAAAAAAAAGAAAATTTTAGTGAAGATAATTAGCCCCTTTGAATGTTAGCACATAACCTCCACTGTCAAGTATTGGGTTGAAATGGAACATACTTGAACTTAGGCATGCATGTGCAAAATGTTAGTTGCCCTCTGAGAGATGAGATATTAGAGTGATACTTTAAGTTCACTGGCTTTCTCAACTTCAGACCTGCAGAATAATGTTGAACAGTATCATATCACAACAGCCACTTGGGTTTCTAATGTTAGTCAGACCTTCCTTTATCTGTCCTATGGAAGTTGGATCACACAATGATTCAAGATTGTCAGAAACCCTGGATTTCAGCCTCTGCCCTAAGGATTGCCAAGTACTGCTCTTTGGACAAATCCCTTAATCATATTGTGTCTTACTTGGTCTTCACTCTGGAAAAGGATTAAATCAAATACAGACTACTTCCAGCCCTAAACTCTGATTCTATCTCTCCCTTATGTTTTGTAAGGTAGTTGAGGGTATATATAAGTTCCTGGACACCTATTTCAAAGATGATGCCAAAAGCTTTTGGGATAGGGAATGATAACGCTGTTCAGTTTTGTTTTTCTCACATTCTGATTTTAGCTTCTGCATTTTGGTAGTAAGTGTTGTGGCTGGAGTTTTTCCCTCAGTGAAGAACTATTGAGTGCCAACATGGTGGTGGCTGCTTGATGCTGAGGATGATTAAAGCAGGGACTTGAGATGCTCTCAGGCTAGCAAGGGAGGTACATGACACAGGGGTTTCTGATGAAACGGCACTCAGCCAAGACAGGTTGTCAGAGAGTCTGCCTGGCTGCCACTCTTCCCAACAGGCCTCATAGGTGGCACTCATTACCTTAGAATAAGGACCATTGCCAACCTTCCAGGCTCAGAAACTTTAAGTGTAGTTAGCACACTAAGAATGGATCTGTCTTTTCATTTATTGATTTAGTCAACATTTCTTGAGCACCAGAATTCTTGCATTTAAAATGATGGAAATTCAACTTAAATTGGTGTGTGCCAAAAAGGGCATGGGAGGGGGGCTCCTTATACTGGGAAATCTAAGGCATGGGCAGATTCAAGAGTTTGAAGATAACAAGGCTGTCTCTCCATCTCTTGGTCCTGCTAACCTCTGTTTGGCTTCATTCTCAAACTCCCTCTGCAAGGAATTGCTCTCAACACCAAGCCTACAACATTCATATAGCTCATGATCCCTGAGTAAAATGGATCCTCTCTTTTAAAGCAGCCATCCAGCACATCTCATGGAGGGGCAAGATTGGCTCTGCTGAGCTCACATATTGATCTCTGAACCAATCCCTGTGGCCAAATTGCCCAGACCTGGTGGTGGGGGTGTGGGGAGCAGGATTAACCCCCTCCAACCATATGGAATGAATTCCCCACAGAAAGAATGGGTTCTACTTTTAGAAGAAGAAGGAAGGGATTTTAGGCAGGAAAACAATAGAAAGAATGATAGCTATTCATAGCCATCCACTGTGCTTAGCATTGGGCATATACCAGCCACCAGGATAGAGAATGTCCCTGTCATTAAGGAGCTTATATTCTGGGTGTGGAGGCACACACAAAAATAAAAAAGCAGGTGAAATAATTATAAATTGTGTTGAAGCAAGGATCTGAGATAGAAAGTAATGGCAGGAACATTTTTAAAATTACTGTGGGCTGGAAAGACTTGAGTGGGTGATATTTAAGCCAAGCCCTGAAGGATAAAAAAGAGCCAGTATGTGAAGAGACGGAGGAGTGGGCTCCAGGCAGTGGGGACAGGTATAGAAAGATGCTGAAATGGGAAAGAATTTGACATGTTAGAGAAGATTGAGGAGGCTGGAATGTAGACAAGAGTGGAGCAGCCCACAGTAGACTGGAGAGAGAGAGAGGCAAGGACCAAGATCTTGGGGCATCTTATGGTGCAAAGCTTGAGATTTATTCTAAATAGTTTGGAGTGTCGTGATTGTCATTACACCAGTTTGAGGGCACTTCAGAATCCGGAGAGATGAATGTGCCCTGGACTGGCACTGGTGAAAGGAGATGGAAAGAAAAACGTGAGGGGCACATGGGTGGCTCAGTTGGTTTAGCTGCTGCCTTGGGCTCAGGTCATGATCCCAGGGTCCTGGGATCGAGCCCCACGTTGGGCTCCCTGCTCAGTGGAGAGCCTGCTTCTCCCTCTCCCTCTGCCTGCCTCTCTGCCTACTTGTGCTCTCTCTCTATCTCTCTGTCAAATAAATAAGTAAAATCTTAAAAAAAAAAAAAAAGGAAAGAAAAGCGTGGATTAAAAACACATTTGAAGGATGAACTGGAGTTGCTGATGTACTGGAGGGGAAGTGAGAGAAAGAGAGAATCCAGATCGATTCCTAAACTTCTCCTGGGAAAGATGTACGTCAGTTTCATGAGATTGGTGTATAAAATCAGAATGCCAATATGTAACTGTGATGTGGACCAGAATTAATTCTGTGTGATCCTAATCTCTCCCAGTAAGCAAAATCCCTGGGAAGCTGGGTTGTGTCAGAAAGTTGCCTGGTGAACATGGATCTGTTGATGTATGGTGGCATCAGGTCACAGATCCATCTCAAGAGGGCCTGAAGAACTAGCTGTATGTAACATTTGCAGTCTGTTGGCTTTGGACTCTCTCCTCTTTGCAATTTTTGAATAAACATAACCAGAAGGATATGAAATTTGAAGGCATTCCATTTAGTGGTGGACTAGTACTCATTTAGGGGTGCCTTTTTAAGGTGAATCTACGTAACTCTTGCCTCATTGTTCACATGTTGAGTGAAAACTCTGATAGCTTTATTTCTCATTTCCCCAAGTATTTGGGATATAATTCTTGAATTTCCATACAGTACTGCACATGTCTATATCATGTCTGAGGGAGCAGATTTCCTGATTCATATATGCCACTCTCTTCTCATTCTTCTAGATGACATCCACAATCCAAAATCTTTCTCTTTTAACTTTTTGCATCTGTGAGACAAAGTATATCCAAGGAACACCCATAGTGTGCAAAAAGTGTACTTGGATTTACCATAACTTGGACAGATGACTTGTTCTTGAACACCTCTAGTGTCTTCTCCCAAACAAAACCAAAAACCCCACATCAGGGAAACCCTACCACTTCTTTTCTCCTCTACCACATGATCATGGCCATGAAAATTAGCTGAAAGCACTCCTCCGGATTGGGAGAGGTCCAGATCACTTACCTTTTAAAATCTCTTAGTATAATAATGATAAAAAAGAAAGGGGGTTGCCAAAAACAGGGTTATAAAAATTCTGGTATATTGTATTTAAATACAAATGTATTTAAATACAAGATGTCACATTTAACAAGTAATGTTATCAACACACACATATCGCGAGATAATTACAGGGTTTATAAAAAAACAATGATTTATAGTGCACTTCAGTAGACAGGTGCCCTGTAACGAAACACAAGTTGTAGATGAGTGTATTATTCTTAGTAATCCCGTCAATGTTTTTTTGTGACTGTGTGTAGAACTTCATGTGAAGAAAACTTTAAAAATCTAAATTTGAGATTTTTCCTGAATATTAACTTTGGGCCAAATGACATATATTGGTGTCGCCCATCTCCCACACCCACATTAGGACTGTTGTGCATTTACTAGAAACTGATGGAAGTCAATCTTAGTGATAGAGGGCCTTAGAATATTACCTTTCCCAGCATGATTAGGGAACAAAGGCCCATGGAGAGCCTGCGCCACAGAACCTCTGAACCTAACAGGGACCTGGCTCTGCTGTCCGAGTGGTGCCATAATTAGACTGGAAGCTGCTATGTTGTCCCCAAGGCCTGGGCCACGGAAAGCGCTCCAGAGACCTCGCCATTGACACAAGGAACAGGGGTCAGGAACCCGCCCGTTTCTCTCCGCCGCCGGGCCCCCGGAGCGAGGCGCGTCCCCTTGGCAACGGGAGAAAGCGCGAGGAGGGCTCCGGAGCCCGGCTGCTTGGGCCTGGGTGGGCCGGGCCGGGGCGGGGCTTGGCCGCCCCCCGCCCAAGCCGCTCGGTTCGGCAGAAGACGCACAGCGCGCCTGCGTCCCGCCTCGAGGAGCGAGGAGCGGCGCCGCGCGCAGCTGGAGCTTCTGGGCGCCAATGGAGAACGAAGAATTTCCAGGCTCGTCTGCGTTTACGGATGGGCGTGGCGCGACAGAAATATCCGCTCCCTCCGAAGCCTTTCAGAAGCCCTTAGTACTCAGGCTCCTCGACGTGCACAAGCTTGAGGGGCTTGAGGAGCCCGAGGAACCCGAGGAACCCGAGGAACCCCAGGAGCCGGAAGAAGCCAACAAGCAGAGCCAGCGAGACCAATGGAACGAGTTTGATGAGCCCCAGGAGACATCTGAACCCCATACGCCCTATGAGCCCCACGAACCCTATGAGCCCTACGAGCATTATGAGCCCCACAAGCCCTATGAGCTCCACGAACCCCATGAGCCCCACAAAGCCTACGAGCCCCACGCACCCCGCAAGCCCCATAAGCTCCGCAAGCCCCGTAAACCCCAGGAGTCCCATGCTCCCCGAGAGCCCAAGCCCAGCGAAACGGAGTTGCTTCCCAGAGCTGCCGCCGTGGTGATCTCCCCTTCTCTGATGACCAGGTTCCCGCTAAGGATTCCGCCATCTTCCCTGAGCGGTAGGTGTTGGGGCCCTTCCCAAGGCACTGAGCCACCCCGCCCTATCTGGAAACTGGGGGTCCGAATGTGAATATTTGCATGCCAGAGCTCACTTTGTTTTAATTTTTGTGTCATTTACCTGCTGCTTTGCAGTCATCTATCTTTGGACCGTATGTGACTCTGATGAGTAAATGAGACAAATTGAATCTCTTCACTCTCTCCTCTCTTCACCTGATGACCTCCTAGCTGTCCTTGATTATTCATTGTAACATCTTTTTGAAGCTCTTCTTTTTTTTTTCCTCTATAGTCATTGCATTTACTCTGGGTTACCACTTTGAACGTTACCTCTATTATAGCACCTAAGATGCTATCTCTTTCTCTGCATTAAAGGGAGGGATCCTTTGTCAGTGTTTGGCACATGGTGGCACTCAATAAATGCTAGCTATTACATTATTAAAGTTGTAGGAATAAAATACTCATTGAGCGGGAATTCAAAGTATACTTACTAAATGTTTACAGTCCTCACCAAGCCCATTACAGGGCTAATGGGTCTTGGGTATAAACATCCTTTGCTCTAACCACACTGGTTCACTTAATGACTTTTCCACTGATGATCCCCCCAAAACAATTCTTTGTCCACATTGGGCTTCCAGTCCCTCAGCTGACCACTTTTAATCTCGTGTTCTCCTTGGCTCCTCTTTATCAGCTTCCATTCTATGGTTTGTCAGTGGCTCACTTACATATTCCACCACCCTGTTGACTCTGGCTATCCACCATACTTCTCCAAGCAAAACCTCAACCCTGGTTAAACCTAACCATCCATCTTCTGCCTACACCTGAGCAGCTGACTCTTGCTGAACAAAATCACACAATCATATGGTTTCTTTTATTTCAATTTTATGACCACACATCTTACTGCTTACCCGATACTTCCTAGTAAGCCCACTTCATTCATCTAGTAAGTTAGTTCTCCTAATCTCTGAGAAGATAACTGTCTTCTTTACTCTCCTCCAAATGTTACACTTTTGACCCCCAAACATCTGAAGACTTTGTCTCACATTTTATTGAGCAAATAGAAACAGTCATGAGCTCTCTTCTTTTCTTTTTTAAAAATTTATTTATTTATTTATTTGACAGAGAGAGAGAGAGCACAAGCAGGGGGAGCAGCAGAGGGTGAGGGAGAAGCAGGCTCCCCACTGAGCAGGGAGCCCGATGTGGGGCTGGATCCCCGGACCCTGGGATCATGACCTGAGCTGAAGACAGACCCTTAACCAACTGAGCCACCCAGGCACCCCAAGCTCTCTTATTTTCTTACCACTAATCTATTGCCTTACCCAAATCTACACTTATGTATTCTTTTTACATATTTCAAAGAAGAATTGTGCCTTTTTCTGTGAAAAGCAAAATCCTCCACTTGTGCTTTGGGTTTCACTTGTGCTTTGGGTTCTGCTCTTGGCTCCTGAAGAATTTTGTTCTTGCCATATTCCCCCCTCCTACAGAATTAATTTCTCCATCTCTAATGAATCAGTCCCATGAATGCACACATATACTCTATAAGCATATACTCAAGAACCTTTCATCTTGAAAAAACCCTTGACCCCATGTCTTCAACATGGAATCTACCAAATTACCAGCATCTGTACATGTATTCTTTGCCTTTTCTCCTGTTAATAATGGACGAACTGTCTTTTTTCCTATTAAAGGCCATTCTCTCAACCTGTATGTTAGATACCATCCTATCTAACTTTAAACTCTTTGCTCCTAAAATTAGCCCCTCTCTCTCCTGCATCATTTTATTTTCTCTACTGGGTCATTCAGCACCTGAACATGAAGCAATAATTCCCATCTTAAAAACAAAACAAAACAAAACAAAAAACCCTCCCTTAATCCCATGTACCACTCCTATTTCTCTGCTCCTCCTTAGAGAAAAATTCCTCAAAACAGTTGTTATTATCTCCATATCCTCACTTCTCATTCTCTTAAGAACCCACTTTAACATTCATCTCCTCTACTTGGCTGCAGTGCTCTTGTTGAGGTCATAATGATCTCTGCCTTGCCAAAATCAATGGTTAATTCTTCATTCTCATCTTACTCATTTAACACATTCACTTCCTCTTTCTTGGAAGCCCTTCTTTACTTGCCTTCATTGTCCTCCTGTCTCATCAATTGTTCCTGACTCAGTTTTCTTTTGAGTCAGGAACTTCTCTTCCCAGCCTCTAGGTTGAAGTGAGTGATGGCTTTTCTCTGATTCTTTAGAACTTTCCTTGTTCCCTAGGCAATGTCATCACTTCCATGGCTTTAATTGTATGCTGGTAACTTCTCAAATTTTTCCCTTGAGTTCCAGAGTTTTATAACCGGTTGTCTATTTAATATCCCTACTTGAGTATCTAGTAGGCATGTAAAATTAAATGTGTCCATAACTGAACTCTTACTTCCACACCCAAACTTGCTCTTCCTTCACTGTTCCTCATTTCAGCAAATGGTACCACCACTCATTCATCTAGGTGCTAGGATCAAAAAACCTTGTAGTCATTCTTGACACATGTTTTCCTCTTAAACTCAGCCTCCAAACCATCAGCAAACCTCAATTTTGAGATATATCATGACTGAGCACTTATTAACATCTAAAGCTTCATCATCTTTTTAAGCCACTATCATCTCTTGCTTGATCCACTATAATGGCTTTCCGCTTGCTCTTGCTTCCACTCTTGCCCCATTCCTCCTCCCACTCCAGTTTATTGTTCATACAGTGGTCATGGGTCTTAGAACATAAATTATATGCAACTCTCCAGAGGGGGTTCTCATCTCATATAGTTTGTAATCTAAAGTCCTTAGCAGGCCTGCAAGGCCCCACATGATCCCCATCCAGATGTCTCACCATCTCCCCACCATCTCTGCTCTCCGACCACGTGGGCCTCCTTGCCTCCACCTCACAGTCATTTCATTTGACTTTTCCTCTGCTAGGACACCCTTTCCTCAAGTATATGTCACCTTATAAAGACATACCAGATCACTCTGTCAAAAAGAACACTTTCTAGCCTGCTCATTTTCTTTAAAGTACTTGTCGTATTGACTGTACAATATTATGTGTCTATTTGTTTACTGTTTATATTAAGCTCACAGAGGGCAAAACCTTTCTTTTCCACTGTTTCATCCTCAGTGCCTCAAGCAGTACCTGGAACAAGTTAGGACTTAGCAATTATTGTTGAATGAAAGATTTCTTCATTCAGCCTCTGTTACCAAGTCCAGTGGTTCCTTCTCTATCCGTAGGGTTGTTAAGAAAATTAATTGAGTTAATACCTGTAAAGCATTTAGAGCAGATTATGGTACTGGTAAGTGCTTAGTAGATGTTAACCATTATTAGTAGTGGTGTTAGTATTTTTATCTTATTTGACCTCTGGGCAGCATTTAATATAACTGACCACTCCCTTCTTGAAATATATACCTCTTAGTCTTGGCCTCTGTGACACCACAGTCCCCCAGTTTATCACCTATGTGACTGCTTGCTTCTTGGACTCATTTGCTGAGCCCTCCCTATTTTCCTGAACTCTAAAGAGCTCCATCCTGACCCCTTTTCTTTTTTTCTTTTTTTTTTTCACTTGTCCCTCCCAGGCTGTCTTATGTACACTTACGGCTTTAAATAACATGTCTATACTACTGCCTCCTAAATTTATATATTCCAGCTCTACTCTCTTTCCTGAGTCCCACACTCATGTATTCAAACTGCCTACTGGACATCTCCATTTGGATATATCATAGGCATCGCAAAAATAATATACTTTGAAATAGAAGTCTTGATTTCTCTCCCAATCTTGTTCCTCCCTCACTCCTCCAACTGAACGCTTCCAGAAAATGGCAAATAGATTGCAGGGGAAACAAGGGTAGAATCAGGGAGACTACTCGAGAGGCTCATCTAGAAATCCAGGTGAGAAATGGCCATAATTGGGATGAGGGTGTACCAATGGAAGTGAATGAATTCAAGAAATAGAAAAACTAGCAACTTGCATTGGATGCATTTGATTTGAAGGTGAAGGAAGAGGAGTCAGGGAGAAATAGTAGATTTTTTTTTGGCTTTATCAAACTCAATGCTATCTCATAAAGTAAGGATGCCACCCTTACTATATAATCCTGCTTGTGGCTTCCCATTGCTCTTAGGATAAGCCAAACCTTTGCAGAGGTCTCTCGAGTTCTGTGGCCCTCTGATCTCACTCCCTTCCACTCCCTCCTGCTTACTCTGCCCCAGTCATATTGACTTCTTTTTTGTTCTCTAAAAGGCCAATCGCATACTTGCCTCTGCTTCAGAATCTGTATTTGTGGTTTCCTCTCCCTAAATGCTTATTATTTTTACAGGAGTGTCTCATGATTAATTCCTATTCAGGTCCCAATCCACATTTTTCTTTTCTTTTTTCTTTTTAATTAATTAATTTATTTATCTTCCAAGTTTTTATTTAAACTCCAGTTATGGGGAGCCTGACTGGCTCAGTTGGTGGAGCGTGTGACTCTTGATCTCTGGGTTGTGAGTTTGAGCCCCATATTGGGTATAACAATTACTTAAAAAATTTTTTTAATCTTTAACAAAAATAAATTTCGGTTAGTTAACATACAGTGTAATACTAGTTTCAGGTGTAGAATTTAGTGATTTGACACTTACATACAACACCAGGAGCTCATCACAACAAGTGCACTCCTTAATCCCCATCACCTATTTAACCCATCCCCCCCCAACTCCCCTCTGGTAACCAGCAGTTTGTTCTCTATAGTTAAGAGTCTGTTTTATGGTTTTTCTCTCTCTCCCCACCCCATGTTCATCTGTTTTGTTTCTCAAATTCTGCATATGAGTGAAATCATATGTTACTGGTCTTTCTCTGCCAGTCCACATTTTTAAAAGGTGGGAAAGCCTAACTCTTAGAGGGCCTTCCCTGTCCATGATGCCTAAAGTAACCCCCTCAGAAGTAGCTTGATGATGAGACTCTCTCTCAAAAGTTCTCAGACTCTGCTTTAGAAAATACTATTTTAAAAT